TAATATAGAATAGAAAAAAAGTTGTATTTTAATATTATAAACAAGATTGCAAGGACTCAGCTCAATTTTTAACGTCAAAATTTTCGGAATTGTGGATATGCGATAATATTAAATCAATGTTTTCAATCTTTCCTAGTGAAATAAATCATAATAAGCGCAAATATATACGTAAAGAAAATATATTTCACCATTGGAGCGGTCATAACCAATTTCCAAAAGTTTCGTGACATACCAGTAACAATTGCTGTAACCGGTTTTCCCTAACATATCTAAAACGTGTTTTTCCGCATTTTCTATAGCATGCTCCGCGAACGCACCCCTATATACATAAATAGAAACTAAAAATGCCTTTTCACGTTAACGCTCGACGCTCATTTTCAGCAAGCAAAAATCTTCAGAAATATAAATATCTTTTATTTATATATGTATCCATAAAATATTATTACTTGAAGATATTACTTGAAAATAATTAATATTTTACGTATTTCGAAGTCTATGTTTGATTGTACATACTAGGACGATTAACGACGATTCAGCGACGACGCTGAATATTTAAAAAATTCAACTTTATTTCTTTGACGCTAGCGTCAAAGCGAAACCACCACGTTCACCTTGTTGACGCTCATTTTCAGCGTCTCATGAATTGGCACCTTAAGGATTGTGATGTATTATCGTGGCGTTTGTGGTTTAAAATTTTTTCATGACCATAGCAATCGCAAATTTTGGCAACAACCAACGCAACAATAAATTTGTGAAGGCAATGTTTGATACAAACGATAAACTAAACCGTGACAATTATTTTTACGTTTGAGGAATATGATACGTTTTTTTATATATTTTTATATGTTGTGATGATCACGTGTATCAAGTATCAAGACAAGAGCTCGACACCACACTAATTGACCGCGTATGATCCGACGCACTTTAACGACTGCGTTAGTCGATGGTGCACTCACGATCACATGGGGATGCTGATGCTGAACGCTCTCTCTCTCTCTCTCTCCCCCTCTCTCTCTCTCTCTTTCGTCATGCACCTGCTCGCGATCGGGATCGGGAGAGCAGGTCATCCTTGCGATCTTTTTTCTACGACTTGTCGGGATCTCCTTTGGAAAGATTAATAATCTTCCACTAAAACACAGCCGTGTTCACTCACGCGGATAAAATATGAATTTCGAAAAGTTTATTTAAAAGGTATAAAAAAATCACGTTTATATACTTTCTCGCGAGCGCGTTTTGATCTTCACGCGGTTGATTAGTATGATGAGCAACTAACTTATAAAAAATTCCACCAAATTTATTTATCGATCAATCGATCCTCTAACCAAGAGTCGTATTGGGCACATAATGGAGTCACTCCGACTCACTGAAATCGCGAATGATATATTTTTGCGAAATATAATTACATCACACCACACCAACAACGACATACAAACCCTAAACTTATAATCACATGTAATTTTATATTTTACTGTGTTATACAAGATATACTTTCTACTCTGGGAAAAATTTTTACCGATTTGGACTCACAGTTAAGCACTTTTTGGTTAATGCTCCTTAAGTGTAAATTATCTTTGCGTAACTGAATATCGACTAAATTAATTGAGAAAATTGACCAGTATAACTTAAAAATCTTAGAAATAGATATCTAATTACGATTTTTAGTTACGCGGTGTTATTTCTAGTCGAAATACGGAAAATTAGGGTTACAATATCTAAATAATTTGTTTATTATAAACGTGGGCCCCAAATTTTTCCCAGAGTACTTTATTATGATCCTTGCATCGTCCTCGATGCTGTTCCGCGCGACTAAACACGATATAGACCTTCACGCGGAGTTCAACGAAAAGCGAGTGCAAGTCCGTGGAAAGCAAGCCCGCTGTTTTTCTCCGAAGGACAACGGTATTTTCATTTAAAAGATTTCTATCGAGCAAAAGGCAAGTTTGATTCCAGCCATTTCTCTTATGATATATAGAATTGTGAAAAATATTATTTCACTGTAATAGAAACAATAACCGAAGATAAAAGGAGAATCAAGTTGAAGACTGGGTAAATAAACTGTATTATTGCGTCTCTTGGAGAACGGAAATCCAAAGAATGAGTTATAAAAATAAAGGACTCCTCGACAAGTATGTTAAGATGCGTTCCACTTGGCGTTCGCGCAGCGAGCATCATTCTTCCTTACTTAACATTTGATAAACAAGGATGAAATGATTCTAAACAGAGTCCCTCTAATAAGAGTCTGGCCAACTTGTGCAGTTACGCATCGAATTAACCAGATTACCAAAGACCACCAAACGACCACGGGTCGATACCAATTAATGAAAATTCGATATGTTGAAGTTGTCCGGCCAACGTCACAGAAGTGTATATTTCTTCCTCTTTCGCAGAATTTTGCCAGAACTGGCCAGACTCCGATTAAACGGACAACGTCTTATGACACGTGTTTTCCACGTAACGCGTAACTGCGTAACCAATCACAAGCGTGAATATGCGTAACAGAAAATGCGAAACGCTCTTCTGATTGGTTACGCGGTTACAAAGTTGCGTGGAAAATACGTGCCATGGAACTTTACCCTTAGTCGGTTGCGCGTACGTATGCAAGTGCACGCTGCAACGTACCCAGTAGTTTCAAGGTCAGTCGCGATGCCCCCACAGATGATTAGGAAGAACTTCACCCGTTCTGGACTATCCGGGTCTAGTTATCAATCATATATAATTTTGTAGATAATAATAGTAGTATTAAAGAAAATAATTTTAGATTTTTTTAAACTCCTTTCCGGAAACAGTTCTGACCTCCTAATGATGTCATTTTATTCGTTTGATGGCTCATTATCAGAACTGTCCAAGATGAAAAATGCATCATATTGTTATGCTCAGAAGATATCTGTATATATCAAAAAATAATAATAAAATAACTGATAAATCCGCCGCTTCATGCTCTCTCCGTCCAGGACGGACCTTATTGGTATCGTTGTCATATAGGCATCACTGTGTCACTGATTCTGAAATAATACACGATGTTTTCACGCTTGCAATCAACTGATAATTTTTTATTTTATAGTTAAACATGACTCCCAGAATTTTAGTTTTTGTTTTTATTCTCGCCTAAAGACTTCTTTTTGCATCCAAGCTACTTTCTCGTAATAACAGCGGTAATAGACAAATGTTGAATATTTTTCGGTATATTTGTTGACGCATTTACTTGGCTTAGTTCTTGGTTTTATATTTGATTAAGTTAGGCAGGCATTAATTTTACTAATTTATTATATTGTCATGGTAAAAAGAATCGGAATTAGTGACACAGTCGGTCCATACAACGAATGAAAACCGTCCTGGGCGGAGGGGAGGGGGGTGAGCATAAAGCGGCGGACGTTTTTTTTAATATACAGATACCTACTGTAACATAGCAGTGACACATTTGTCATCTTGGACAGCTCTAATGATGAGCTATCGAACGAATAAAATAACATCATTAAAAGTTCAAAACTTTTTCCAGTGGGGATTTGAAGATCTAAAATTTTTCTTTTTCTTTCTACCATTATTACCTACCTACAAAATTATGTACGATTGATGACTGGGGGCCTAAATAATCCAATACCTCAATAGGCGAAGTTCTTTTTCCCCCTCGTACGCCTACAAACGCCTGCCATTGACATCTACACTGAGAAAAAAAATTGTTAATCCCAAGAAATATTTAGTCCGATACGTTCAACTAAACATTTTAGTTAATTAACTAAAGTTGTTTCAACAATTTATTTCGTTTCTTTAATCAAGAATTAATTAATTCAACTAATGTTTAGTTAACGAACTAAAATGTTTAGTTGAACGTATCGGAGTAAATATTTCTTGGGATTGACAAATTTTTTTCTAAGTGTATATTCCTGGATCAGATATACAGAAAAACTAAAGTAGCGGTCCCGCGATACTCGTCTTGGCTCGCCTGGGCTTGTAACAAGATCGGTTCGCAAATTGATAATACATAATCGCTACACAACAAAGGCGGCGCAAATATTAAGGGGCCTTCTCTAGGGGTAAGAGAATTCCAAACAGGAATAAACGCGAACAGATTGATCGATAACCTTAGTAGGCTATTTTCGAAAATTTACTTGCAGTCGTAATTTTCACAATAAATATATAATAAAAATATATAATTATATTTTCATTCATTGTTATACGCTGATGTCCGATAAAGTACTGTAGAATTGTATTTTACATTTAAATATTTGTGCATGTGCATTTTAATATGATTGTGGAATTTCCAAGATAAATTTCAAATCTAAAAATTTTTAAAAGAATGTATGTGTGATACCACTAATATCAATGTATCGAAAAGTAATAGAATTAATTGAAAATAAATAAAATTAAATGTAAAACTGCTCAAAGTTTTACAAGTAACGTAAAAAATATTAAAAATCAGATATTTTATTAACCTTTACAGTACAAACATGAGTATTATTCGATCGACTTCTATCCTTTCTATATAACTTTCTATATAAAAGTTTCTTGAAATTTTAAAAGATCCCCGATTATATTATATTTTTTACATTATACTTTTTTTTCCAAAATAAAGTACAGACATTTGTTCTGGAAACTTGAAAGTATGTTCATGAATTTTTAGAGATTTTTTGAAATAGATGAAAAAGTAATCGAACACGTTGAAACATGGATAAGATGTCATTTCTCACATTGTACTGTAAGAATTAATAAAGATAAAATAAGTAAAAATTGCTACAAATTGTATAAACCATTCTGCATCAATAAAGATCATTTTAAATTGTCGTAATAATAATTATTATTAAAAATAATGATCTTGTGTTAATTAAAATATAATTCAAATATTTAATATTGTTACAAAGGAGCGCTGAGTTTTCTTGCATTAAATTTTCCTATTTCAATATCTTTTATTTAAAATTAATTTTTGTTTAATAACATATAACGAGAATAGAAAAACCATGCGCTTATTGCTTAATGGCGGCGGAGCGATCAAAAAGGAAACTTACCACATAGTGCTTACGTGGACGAGACCAACCGCCATTAGAAAACATTCTTTTTTATCCAATTTCGAACATTTCCTCTGATTCTTCCGTTCAGCATGTTCTTTGATAATAGACAAAACTGTTTTAGCGTCGTTATTTTCATCATCTTCGCCACCTTCGTCTTCGTGAAGCCTTTTACAAACGGATTGTCGAGTATCCACTCGATCGGCAGGAACAGCCGCCATAAGCATGTTCGCCATTTTAGCACGCGTGCGCTTCCTTTCAGTTTCCTGAAGTAATTTAAAGCAAGGCTCCACGAGTACCGGCACGTCTATCGTGGGCACCGCGCCCAAGCGCAGCCGATTCCTCTTCTGATTGCCCTGCAAGATCTGCTCCCTGCTTTCGTCCTCGTAGAACTCCTCCAGGAAGTGGCGTGAGCAGATACGCGCCGTCTTGATATTGAATGGCGGCTCTCCATTCGCCAAGGGAGCACGACCGCAAGCACGCACCCATAACTCGCGCAATTCCTCATTGTGCGGGAAACGGTGGTAGCGCACCGACTGCTTGCGAGTCCGGCGATGGCTATTGCGACACGTGGCCACTGCGCACTGCGGCATCCCGACAGCGCGATCTCCCTCTTATCGTCGAGAACGGTCAGGAGGCGCGCGGAAGGACAGGGCGACGATTGAATCCGATGTGGTGACGCACACGCGCTCACGCACATATAAAACGTAATCGCGAGCGTGAAGAACGGAAGGGCGTGTGATGGCGAACGGCGGTGGATGAGAAACAAACAATCCCCCCGAGATTCGCGCGGGACTAATTGATGATGAACGGCGAATGATAAGCGACCGCCGCCAATTCGTCCGTCCCCGGATACGATTTCTCCTCTGCAAGCTCGATTCGTTCCTGACGAAGACCTTGATCTGACTGAGCCGCGAGTCCGCCCGTGTGTAACCACCAGTCACCGAGGGAACTTGATGAAACCGTGGTTACAGCCGAGCCAATCATGTCTAAATGCTACAGAGCCCTTCGGACGATCCTCGGTGGCAAGTACAAAAGCGGAGGACGGAGGGGATGTGCTTTTCTACCTAAGTGAGACGAAGTAAAAAAATGAGACAAGAGATAAAGATTCGAAACGGACCTTGAAAGCTGAAAAGAAAATGAAATAAAGAAGCGTCGACAAAGGGCGTTTACTTTGAACAAAGGACCCCTCCCTCTCTCTCTCTTTTAAAATTTTACAAGTGGAGGAATTAATGTTGTGATGGTAAAACTGACAGAAAAGTGAGAGGTAGTGAGAGATGAAATTCGCGTGTTAACACGCACAGGAAGGATGAAGGAGAAGGAAGATGAGGAGGAAGAGAAGAAAGGGGAGCAGATCGAGTGCATGGCGTACGCGAGAGGTGTCGCCTCGGTGTGGATCACGCACGACAATTGACGCTACCAACAAGATGGCGTTGGTGGTGAGCTGGTGAGGAACGAATAAACCGAGCCGGCCGGCACACAGAGCGCACGAGACCCGGCGAGAAATAGCGTGGAGAACGCACGATCAAGAGGAGGACACTACGAGATGAACAGAAAGAGCGAGAGAGAAAAAGAGAGAGAGAGGGAGAGAGCAAAAGAGAAATAAAGAAAGAGCGTGAGAGACTCACCTCTTGCGATGGACGTTGGCGCCGGAAGTGAACGCGTACATATTGGGAAGACGAGGATGGAGGAAGCGAGGGGTGGTTGGAGGCATGTGAAGAGATAAGACCGAAGCGCATTTATCTCGCGTGACACGACGCGACGTGACGACGACCACGATGACAATGATGACACTGATGATGATTGAAAATTGTGATGATGATGATGGCGATGGCGACGACGACAACGAAGATGATGATGATGATGGTGATGGTGATGATGACGACAACGACAACGACAACGACGACGACGTCGACGACAGCGGTGGCGGCGGCGACGACAAATTTACCCGCGTTCGCGGCGCTACTCCTCCGAACACTGGCCTCTTGCTCTGATCAGTCCGCAGTGCAAGAGGTGGCAGGCACGGCAGCTGCGTGTACCTCCTCGTGCCTGCGTGAACCCGGTGAACCAATGATCGTGCTCCACCGTTGCCGTCGCGGCAGGGATGACGAGGACGTCGTGGAGGGGGGGCGCGTAACCTGGGGTTGCAAGGAACTGCCGCGCGCGCGAAGGCCGTCGGCGAAGGGGGGTACGCGGGGGAGGGGCGGCGGGAGGTCACCGCTACCATGTACCGAGGGTCCTTTAGGGGGTTCGCCACCCCTCGCGCACGCCGTCGCACGGCGTCTTCCGCGCTTATCCGACGCGATCAACCACTATCGCCGAGTTGGCTTTCACTCTCTGCTAATATTCTTATATATCATTTATAGTTTTCACTTTACAGTTTATTTCTTCTTATTAGTCGCTTCACTAACCCTCTTCTTACGCTTCCTTACATCCTTTCGCAACATTTGCGTATTTAATTTTGAGCTTGTAAAAACATGGAGAATAAAACTTCCAAGCATAATAGGCGTGGTATCATCATCATTATAACATCACTGTTATTAGGAGTTGTAATGTCACTACTGTGTTTATATTCTTCTGATTTTAGTTTCTATATATAGTCTTTATCTTCTTTACTCGTGTTATTATTTTTATTTGATCTCATCGCTTTGTGATGAGGTGACAACAAATGCATTTTTTGTAAACCTTCCGAAAAGTGTAAAAATCAAACCAACATTTCCGCTTTTAAACATACTGTCGATTAAGCTACTCTCCGTTCATCCAACGAGCATCATCGCTAAATAAACGTTTCCTTTTCTTTCCTTTCATGCTACACATCTTTTGTCTTATCCACAAGACCACAAAAGTGTGTAACAATTCTATGTCCGAGAAAATATCCACCATGTGAACGACCGTCCCATCATTCGTCCCTTTCTTTTTTTACTTTAACTCTTAATTACTTCGAATATTTATCCTTGTAATCTTGTCTTATTATCATTTGCAGTTTTTCTACATATACACTTATTAGTTGCTCTCAATGGAGATGCCATTTCAGAGTATGTTTAAATAAAGCGTCTATCTATCTTCCTTTTTCCTTTTATTGCACAATATTTCTTTGTCGCGCGTTACTCCATTCGTCTGAGTGACCTCAGGTCCTCCCCCTCGCGGGGCGTGTTGAGTTACCCGCCGTTCCTCTAGTCGCGCACTCTCGACGATTATTCGTAATACGAGTACGGTACCAAGAGAGAGATGAAGAAGTCCTTGCCGACGCAGTAACCATTGTGTCGACTAGCGATTTAATCATCACGTACTCGATGAGTAACGTATCGAGATTTTGTGTACATAACGAAGAAAACTTATTTTCGATTTAATTACAACATAACAACCGTTTACTGTTTACCATTCTTCTGATCAACAAGAAAGTAGAAATATATTTTGTGTACATAACAAAGAAAATTTCTTTTCGATTTAATTAAAACGTAACAATCGTTTACCATTTAATGTTTACCATTGTGATCAACAAGAGGGTAGAAATATAAACATCTGTTTATTGCAGTAGAATTAGCTCTTGAACTAAGCTGTCAAACTATAGGTAAGTTACGACCTTGTACTGCTACACTATTTATAAACATATGCGCAGATTTTGTTCAAATCATCTTGTATGACGGCAATACTTCTTTTAATATCAAAAATCTCAATAAAATTAATTAACACTCTGTATAAAGAGTATATAAATTTATAATGGTAAAAAGTTTTTGATAAAATAACGCTAAAAAATTATAATTAAAATTTCATTTCTTATCATTTATCGATAACTTCATGTCTTATGATATCCAAGACCGCATGAAATCTAATAATTCAGGAGATATCGGAAACGAGCTTTCGAACCTATTTTGATAGCGTTAAAATCTCTCACCATCAGAGTGACCCACCGAGAACGTTGATTCTCGCTATTTGCATGGAATCCTATCACGCTATAAACCGCGAATCATTTCTGCCATTTTCATCGATCATGATATCTGTGATAGTTTGCGCGGCACCAAAAAAGAAAAAAAAAAAGAAAAAAAAAAGAGAAGAAAAATTTAATTGCACCTGAAATTCTGTCGGACTAATCACGATAACACAGAATCTGTTTCATCGAGCAAATTAATATTGGAAATTGATGATAATTTTTTTAATGGGCAACGCGTTGGTATCTACCCGCATTTTCCCCTTTGCAACCTGTTTTTCACTTTTAGAGCAGAGTAATGTGTTAAGCGGCGTTTTATCGAATCTCTCGTTACGACTAGCGTAAAAAAAAACAAAAAAAAACAATGATCTGTTTAAGTTCTACCAACAAAGAGTTATACATACATAATTATAAAGATGTCAAATAAAAAAATGATTTAGGTATTTTTATTTAAAAGATAAATTTGTAAAACAAAATTAAAAGTATATAATCTAATGTGCCTAATGTAAAGACATAATGTAAAGAATTCATCAATTATATATTTCTCGTAGTTCATGCCCTCGAGAAGATAAATAGCATAACAAGTCCACTCTTTCTTTCCCCCAAAACTAATTTCTTATATAGGCCATTGTCTCGAGGTTTTGTTGAAAAATTATTGGCGCTATTGCTTTCCCGTAATATAGCCGAGGTCGATCATAAATGGAACGTCCGAGCAGAGCTAACGCAGGTGTAAAACGAGGAGAGTCTTAAAAACGAAAATTTAAAAGGGACCTCTTAAATTTTAATGCTACTTTGTTGTTAACTCATGCTCCAACTGTTTCATTTAAAAAATAGTTATATGTAAAGTGACTAATGTCAAAGCTTGATTATTATTATATCTTATTATTATTATCTTGATTATTATTAGGTATCCCTAGAATTTTATCATATTTTATCGTTCAAATAATGATAAAAAAAGTAAACAATACCTAATTCTTAAAAAATATTCACTTAATAACAATTCTCTCCAAAAAAAGTATCCGACATAATCATTACAACGGAAGCATTGTGTTTATCGCGCGCGATTGGCACATATATACATACCTATATCTACATAACAATTAAACATTCGTTCAAATTTTATTTTTTCGGAAATGTTGCACTGGTACCGCGATTTTTCTCGTGCGATCTCGAGTACGATTTGGAGGAGTCTTCGCGGAGGTTCCGTTGAGAGCGTTTTTGCCATCTTTCTTCTGCTTCTTCTCTTTCACTTTTCTACTCTTGATTGCGCGCTCTCCCGCAACTGAGCGAAGGGAAGAAGTCATCGAAAGGAACGGAGAAGACCAGTACGTAACATGTACAGAGGAGGCTCTCTTGGTTTCAGTGCCATCAGTGGCCGCTAAGGCCTTAAATAGAGACAGACCGATTTCCTGCCCTCCTGTTTCTTTCCGCACGTGAATCTCCGGGAGACTTCTTCACTCAATCGCACGGATCTCGGCACGAGCTTCAGGCTCTTGCTGCGAAGTTTTTTCGAGGAGCACTTCAATCGTGACATTTATCTCGGACATTAATCCGTATTAAGCTCATGAATTATTTATTCAGAAGTGCTTAAAGAATTTAAGCGCATCTTCAGGAAAAATTATACCTCTTTCGAGAAAGAAATGTTGATTTAAAAGAATTGGATTAATATCGTCGTAATCTACGATAAAAAAATAAACATTTTTGTAGTTTCTACTTTATACTTTATTAATTACCGAAAATTCATGATTTTACTTTGCGACGTATCGAGAAGCTTTTTAAGTTTCATAAGATGACGGCGAGCCTAGACAAGATCCGAAGCATTCCCTGTATCTACAGTCACCTGTATGGTACCCGTCATCCGACTAATCTGAATCATTCGGCTTGCTGGGAATACCGGTGGACCAAATCAGCGCCGTTAGAGTTCCTTCGGATACCTGGTTCCGCAAATATCCAGAGGCCTGCTTGGAGCCTTGTTCCATCATCGGCTCCTCGCGACCCTTCCCGCCGGAGTATGCGACCAGAGAGAGAAAGAGAAACGGAAAGAGGGAGAGAGAGAGAGAGAGAGAGAGAGAGAAGGAACGCGTCTCTTTCTCTCTCTCTCTCTCTCTCTCTTTCTCCC